AATAACAACAAATGTTTCCCATCTTAATATTTTATTTTTTATTTTTTAGACTTGCGCCAGCCCTTCGTGCATGGAGTACACTTAAACCAGTCTTTGGGCCTGGTACACTGTCATCATCAAAGTGTCTTTTTTTTTCTTTTATTATTTTCTTTTATATCTTATGCTATTTTATTTGTAAGGCCTTTCTTACTTGTAAATTTTCTCCACCATCTCATCAGTTCTTTGAGTATCCGGGATTTGCTGGACGCCTCTCTCATGATATTTCTGTTTGTATCAACCGTCCAGAATAGTGAGGCTAAATTCCTTACACCGGTCTTTGCTAGTTCCATCTTATACCAATTTTCATTAAAAGCCGCTCTGTCCTGTGTAAGCATTATGTGGAACAATCTACTGGCCTGGTAGCACTGGAAGACTTCTGGGCATCCCAACCCTCTGTCCTGCTTTGCTCTAGCCAGTAATTTCATCTTTACTCTTGGTATCACTCCAGGTAAATTTAACAAAGGACCTATGCAGGAATGACAAGCAGTTTTCTGGGCAGTTGATTGGAATCATTCTCCAAATAAATAGCCACTTTGGTAGAATGTATGCTTTTAATACGTTAATCCTTCCTGAACATGAGAATCCCACATTTTTCCAGTCTTTCAATTTTTTGTTTGTGTCTTTCAGCAATGGAAGGAAGTTGGCTTCTACCATGTCTTTTAATAGGGGGTTATTATAACCCTGTGACCTTAGCCGATGGAGCACTATATAAAGCCGATATTGCTTTAAAGATTGGTCTGGTTATTCCAAACTGGTTTAAAGCGGAGAACATGAAGCCCCATCCAACCCTGTCGAACACTTTCTCTGTGTCTAATGACAACAGGATTAGAGGGGCTCCACTGCTCTCCGCTTCCTCCACTATGTTGATTATTCTTCTGAGACTATTCACCGGGGATCTCCTTGAGACAAAACCAACTTGATCATCATTAATGAGATGAGGTACCACGGGCTTAAGTCTTTTGGCTATAATAGAAGATAGTAGTTTAATATCGGTATTAATAAATGATATAAGTCTGCAGTTGCTTACCTGCTCCAGGTTTTTATCAGCTTTTGGAATAGGCACAATATTTGCCATTAGCAGCTCCTCTTGGAACTCTCCTGTTTCCATTATATGATTGAAGACAATGGTTAGTTCTCCTTTGAGCCAGTTCTTCATTGCTTTGTAAAATCTGTTTGTGAAGCCATCTGGGCCTGGAGCCGTCTTTATTTTAAGTTTATCGATTGCTTTTTCTACCTCCTCCTCTGTGATTGACTGGTTTAGTTGCCCTGGTTGGTCCCTTTGGATTTTTGGAATGGGCAGATCCATGAGGAATCTCTCAATCTCGTTTGGGTCTCCAAATGTCTCTTTTGGTAGGTTGTACAGATCTTGGTAGAATCTTTCGAATACTTCACCAATTTTCTCCGGAGCCATTACATAAGTGTCCTTCTCTTTTATTTTATAAATTACATGCTTACTTCTTTCCTTTTTCAGCCTGTTGGTCATCATGGATTCTGGTTTGTTGCCTTTTAGGTACCACTTAACTTGGAGAGCTTCTAGTTGTTTCAATGCTTTGTCTGCTAATTTCTCATTATTACACATTTATATGTGCACCAGACTGTAGTCTCTGGGATGCCTTTATCTTTGTTTTCCTCAAAGAAGCATTTTGTTATCTTTTCTAGTTCTTCCAGGTTGCTATTCTTGTATAGTAGGAAATCTTTCATCCGCCATTCCTTACGGAATTTGTCAAAGCTATCTTTATATTCTAACATGATGGGGCTGTGGTCCGACCACGTTATACGCTGTATCTCGTGTGTTTTTTGTTTGTTTTTTACAATGTAGAGCATGGCTACATCTCCCACCATGTAGTCTATTCTTGAATATGAGTTATGTTTTCAAATAACATGTGTAGTCCAATTCTGAAGGATGGAATGTTCTCCACATGTCTCTTAGATTATATTTATTGAATAGATTTTGCAGTTTTGTTCTCATTTTTTGTTTTTATTGGCTTTATGACTTTTCCTATCTTTAGATGGGTCCGCCACACAATTGAAGTCTCCCATTATTAGTACCAAACCTTGTCGAATCTGGTCTACCTTCTTAAAAATTTTGGAAATAAATTTGATTGGAGCCTTGTTAGGAACATATATGTTAACCAGTGTAATTAACTTATTGTTAATTTCACATATCAAGATAATAAAGCGCCCTTCTGGGTCTAAATCTTGGAACTTAATAATTAAAGAAATATTACTTGCAAACAAAAATGCCACTCCTCTTTTTTTTTCCCCCTTTCTAATAGAGCACTTATGATTGTAGGGAATCTAGTAGAATTTATTGTCTTTTCTATAGACTTTATCCAGTGGGTTTCTTGGATAGCACAGATTTGTATCCATTTTTTTGTCAAATAATCTAGAATTATTAACTTTTTTTTGGTGTATTTATCCCCCGAGCATTTATCGAAATCAGCTTAATTTATAGTGATCTTTTATTTTTTTTAGACTCTCTCTATTAGATTTGACTGACTAGTGTTTAGACCAAGGAATTCTATACATTTTTTGTTGACGAACAAATAAAATGGGTTGATCCATTGTATAGGCATCAACCTAAAACTAATAAGAGGTGTGGTGGGACGAACCCACCATACCGTATCTTGGGTGATGATATCCATCACATAGATATAAATCCCACATCCTGTGGGAAATGCAGGCTGTGAAATGAGCGACACATGGTGCTCATGTAATTGGAGCAACTGTTTTGGGTCGAGGGGAGCGGCAACTGCATGCAGTGTGGCTGGGAAACAATACAAAACCAGGGGTGAGGAATAGAAAATTTTCAAGGAAGGTGGGGGAATCCAGGGACGGAGAGAAATCTTATCGCCCATTTCTCCTCTCTTTGTCTTACTCCTCTCCCTCCCCCCACCCCCCGCCTTCTCCTAGCTTATCTACCTTAATTTGCTTATATGCTAGTACTTTTTTATTTGCTTGTATCCTATTTGTGCCCCCATATATGCTTGCTTACTTAAACATTTATCCCCTTGTTCCTTATAGGTTTATTACTATTTACATATTTACTAGCTACATGTGTTGATTTTCCCTTCTTTTTGTCTCATCTCTTACTATCCTCTTTACACCACTCCTATTTTATAAAATATGTGAATATCTGTGTTTTATTTTATTTTAAATTACTTATGTCAACATATCTTTCTTTTACTTTCCCCTTGTGTTTTACTTCTTTTCGTTCAGAATGTTGATCAGTGCCAAAATGTATATATCTTGAGTGCCTATTATTTCCTTTATCGTAAAAATGATCTATGTGTTTATATCTTTCTCTTCATTCCTTTGTTTATCTGTGTTCGGTGTAGAAGAAAAAAAAATCCCTTTTGGTTAGTCTTATGCAAACCACACACTTTTCTATTGTATTTCTAAACCCTATATTAACTTCTCCCCTTCCTATCCAACCCTACCTGCATACAGAAGCCCCTGTTCCCCTTCGCTCACCCACTTCCTACTTACGTATTTTCCTCTTACTGGCCGGAGCAGTTACCAATTCTATTTTCCTCTATCCACTTTTTAAGTTCATCTACATTGCTGCAATGTGTAAGTTTCCCCTCAAACATTATGATAATCCTCGTAGGGAAACCCCAGCGATAGTTAATATTATTTTGTCTTAAGATAAGTGTGGCTGCGGAGAACGATCTCCTTTTTTGTCTAGTTGTCCATGAGAGATCTTGAAATACTTTAAGCATGTCATATTTTTCTGAACATCCATTGTTTTTTATAGCACTTAAGATTTGCATTTTTAGTTTGAAGGTGGTACAGCACAATATCACATCCTTTGGAAGGTGTTCTGGGACTCCTTTAGGTTTGTATACCCTATGACATCTCTCAATCATATGGATTTTCTGGTCCCATTCTATCTTCAGATCTTTAAAGAACTCTTCTGTATATGCTTCCAGATTTATTTGCTTAACTTGTTCAGGAATACCTCTAATTCTCAGGTTGTTCCATCTTTCCCGGTCCTCCAATTCTGTCAATTTGCCCTCCAATTCTTCTATTTTTTTTCTAGCCCCTTCTGTGCTTGTTTATGGGTATTTCCCATCTGTTCCAATTCCTTTAATTTTCCTTCCATACCCAGCAGCCTTTGATTAAGCGTGGCGAGGTCTACCTTGATGTTTTTAGTTTGATTTTGTTTTCTTCTCTTATGGTCTGGAATTGGCTGTCTAGATGTTTGAGCAAATCATCATATTCACTTTTTTCTTCACTATGGTCTCTTTCTTGACTATCCTCCTGGCTGTCTTCTGTTAGCATCTTTTTTGTAGATTTTTTTTGGCGGGGTGTTTAAATTAAACTGCAGCTCCGTATTAGTTTTATTTGGTGTCGAGTTTGATAGAAAAAAAGATTGACGTTGTTTTTTTTTCTACCACTTTTTTCCATTTTGTTGTATTTTTGTAGCCATAATTTTTTTCTTTTTTTTTTTTCCTTCCTTTGTTTTCCCTTCTCTTTCCTTTCTTCTTTCTTTCTCCTTTTTTATTATTTGATTTCCCCTTTTTAAAAAATAAAATAAAAAATGTTGTTATTTATTTATAGCTAGTGCTTTCCCCTTTTGTTTTTTTTGTTTTTGGGTACCTTTTTCCCACTTGATTTCATACATATATATGCAAACCAATAATTGGTATCTGATTTGTCTATTTATGGGCTATAAAAACTTTTATTTTTCCTCCCTTCTTTCTTCTTCCTTTCTTCCCCTTTTCTCTTCCCCTGCAACTCCTTAATTAGGCAAATCTCCCTTACTGAACCCCAATGTGCCAGAGGTAGTTATAATATTGTGATATCTATGGTGGTTGTTGTGCTATATAAGTGCTATATAAATGCTATATATAAGTGCTATATATTCAAAAGATCTATTTATTTAAAGCAAGTTCAGAACAAGCAAGCTGACAAGTAGCAAACTGTTGCTTATTTGTAGGAACTTATCTGTCGCCATGCCCGTCTACTGCCTGCAGCTCCGTCTCCTCCAGCCACACTCGCCTATCCACGGAGCAGCACTGCCGGTAAATTCAGTCCGTCCGTCACCAGAGTTCCCCTCGCACTTCTCACTGGGGGATCTTTATGAGCGCTGGTCCCCGCTGCTCCTGTCTCCTTACACACCCCGGTCGCTCCTTCAGCCGCTCACCACGAGGACGCAGCCCGGTGTCCTACATCATCTCGCTCCCCCCATCTTAATATTTTAGCTTTTAATCTCATGTTTTAAATTAATCTTGTGCTGTATTTAAAGAAGAGAACTGGTAATGAATGGGTTATCCATCTATTTGTTCTATTATACATTTAATCATAAATCAAAAGTGTTATCTAGATGTTTCTTTTGGGGATTCAATATCTCACTTTGCTACCCTTATGTCTCCCATTCAAGGGCCTCCTGATTTCTGATGTGCATGAATGTATGAGACAATCAGTGTAGCGTGTTGAAACTGTAATGAATATACTCAGAAATTCATGTGGACTGATTCTGAATATTATTATTTTAGGTGTACAAACAATTCAGATTTACATTTTTCATTTTAAGAACAGAACTCCGTCTCCTTTTCTGATGTGCCCAGTTTCTTTGTGAGGTGCCAAGTACATAAAATGTCAATGATTCAGTCACATGAGTTTCCTTAGGCTCTAGCAATTAACGTTGTCATATTACTATGGTGATCATATAGTGTCAATGGTATGGCTAATTAACCATTTCTTTGGAAAAAAATAATACCCGTCACTAGGAGCAATTATATCCGTCACTAGGAGCAATTATATCCGTCACTAGGAGCAATTATGCTACATAACAGGACACTCAACTGCCAAATACAAGAACATAAAAAAAAATAATAAATAATCGTAATTTGGTTATATACCCCTAAAAAAAGTGCTTTCAAAAGCTGCAAATCTCTTGTCTGCAACTTTTGCAAGCCCTCCTCTTCTAACCCTGTCTAGACTTTCTGTGGCTGTCCAATCACAGACTTCCCCACGCAGCTGAATCAGAAGTCTTAGCAAGGCAGGTGCTCTGGGCAATTGCTGCCTCTTGAGTTTAACTCCACTGAGCTAAACTACTATAAAGAAACAGGGCTGCTTGCCTGATTGACAACCAGTGGTGTAACAAGGTTAATTTATAAAAGTGCCAATTTCTATTGAAATCTGTACTTTTTGTAATATGAAAAAAGAGCACACACTCTTTACACATAATGCACTTCAGCAAGCTAAAGTGCTTCAGGTGTATGAAGTGTTCCTAGTACAGTTCATGAAACATACAGCTTTAATTAACATTTCTAAAACGGCTAACTGTCATTCACTAGCAACAATTGTGATACTCAACTTGAAATTATGTTGTAATTTTCCTTATTAAGGTTTAAATCAGAAACTCAAAGTGATAAAATTCCCAACTTTGATAAACTATTCTAAAGCAATACTTATATATATAAGAACCGAAATGAGCAAGCGATTGTGCTGTTTCACATATTTGTATATAAAAAAATACATAAACTAACAAATATTGCATTTAACTTAGAATGTACTTGTTATGTTACACACAAGTTGTTCCAATTTAAAAGTAAATACAACTCTAACTATAAATTGTTCTAGCACAGAGTGATTCTGCAGTTACTCAACACATACATAAGAGCACATGCGCTCACTAGAGAAGTAAAACAATGCAGGTGTGCTGACTATGAAGCCCGCATGTCGGTGCCAGGGGCAATAGGAAAGAGTGTGGACATGATTTAAGAGGGACTGAAGTTGGACGACACCGTAATGTATCACTTAAAAAAGCTGCGTCCATACCGGCACTGGAGTGATGGTTAGTTGTTTAAATATCTTGACATTTTAAATTGAATATTTAATTTATCTGTATAATAAATCATATGATTATTGCCTGTTGGGAATGGGGGTAAGTTAAAGTAAAATACAAATACAAAAATCAAATAAAGTGAAGTGCTAAATATAATATTTGCTGTGTATATAGTACAAAATCGCTTATGCAACTATTACTGTAACTGAAAACATCAGGTATATAACACCTATAATGAAAATCATGTGCACTGTAGTGTAGATAAACCCATAAACATAAAAAATGAGCACATCCCTTTATTTATATATTTTATATGTATTTCACTTTTTTGTGTATGCTGCTCTTACACTCGACGAGAAAGAAGTGCCTTACACAATGTTTGGATTAAAGTTAAAGTGAACCATGGTGGTGTTTTTTTAGCAAAAAACAATAGTAAACATAGGTGTGCCATAGACACCCTAAGAAGTAGGACCAGCATGGCGCTCCATTTATTTAACATGGTGCCTGTCGGTTTGATAAGCACCATGTCTATTATTTCATTTGCATTTGGCGCAAAGTGATACAGCAGCCCACCACACATTGCTGCTCCTTACCATTGGTGATATAGTGCAGCAGGTGCTGTGTCAGTCTGCCAGTCAGTTTACACCCCTTTAAACCCTTAAGGACACATGATGGAAATATTCCGTCATGATTCCCATTTATTCCAGAAGTTGTGTCCTTAAGGGGTTAACTTCCCTTCAGGCACCACTCAGTTAATGAAGACTGAGGACAGAATGCAGACAGGTAGATACAGCACTTGCCTACAGTGCTGCCATGGGCAGGTACTCTGAATCTCCCACCGGACTACCAGAGATTTGGATTCCTCCTCCTTGGTGCAACGTAAGCATCAGGAAGTAGGAAAAAGTTTAGTATACTTTCCCTCCAAGTCCCTATCCCCTCTGCTACAGCCCCTAACACCCCCAACACCCCTACTGTTTCCCCTAATCCCCTATTACAGTCCTTAACCCACTCCACTACAGTGTTTAGCCCCTCTGTAGTTCCCAACCCTCCTCTGCAGCCCCTATCCACCCTGTTCAAGCCTATATCTGTTTACTGCAGCCCGTATCTAATCTGCTACAGCTTTTACCTTCCCACTACAGCATTTAGTCCCCCTCTGCAGACCAAACCCCCCTCTGCAGCAACCATCCACCCTGCCACAGCCCCAACCTCATGTCCCTAGCCCACCTACAGCAGCCTCTAACCACTCTACATCAGCCTCTAACCCCCACTACAGCCTCTAACACCCCTGCATCTCATACCCCCCAGCCCACTAAGGGCTGATGAGTGGGGATAGGAGCAGTGCCTGTGACGAGAGCACATAGCTCCACATCACTGAATCTTTTGTATTGTAATGTAGAGCTCAGTGTTAAATTTTTGTTACCTAATCTCTTCCTATGCTCCAAATCCATCCTTCCCTACCTCCCTCCCCTTTTTCTTGTCACTTCCACCTATCCCTTTCACTTGCCCCATACTCCCATCACTGCCACCCAGCTATCTTCCCTTTCACCCCATACTCATATCACCCCCACCAATCCCTCCTTTATTTCTCATCTTCCTATGTATTACTTTTTTATAGTTTATGCTGTATATAGTCAGCACACCTAAGTTTGCTAAGAGATTGGTCACGAGAAGCAAAACTATTTTCAGAATTCATTAAATGCAGTTTTACCTTCTAGAATGAATTATTTGCATACTGTGCAGACATATGTAGAATATTCATTCCCTTATTGATTTTCTTTTCTTCTGTATTTTTATTTTTATTTTTGTCATAGACTTTAGAGAGCATATTACATTAGGGAAAACCAAAAAGATATTGTTGATTTACCTTTGAGCATTCTGTATGTAGTGCAGACTTAAAATCTTAAGGTGAATGCATGAGATGAATTTTGAAATAGCTGTGCCATTCTGTTTAGGAGAAATGTAATTGTACCCTATATCAATTCACACAACTGTGCGTTCTTATTCTGACAGCAGTCTTTCAATTTGACATAATGCTTCATAGCATATCATTTCCTCACACTGTGTTACTCAGTGTTGAAAGCAAAAGCAACAAAAACATTTCAGTGACTAATATCTCATCCATCACAACAAAAATCCTGTAATGTGTTATTGATGATAGAATTAAAACAAATCTACAAAAGTGATATTTTATTCCTCAGTGGGGCTTCATCAAAGTGACTTTCAAAACCATTATTTAGGTTTGTCGAGTCAATAAAACAAATGTCCATGCATGTTAGAAAAGTAAATAATAATGAATACAGTCAGGTGACTGTGTGTGTGTGCTAGCTGTAATATATTGGCAGTAACATTCCTAAAACAACTATAACAAAAATGCTTGTTATTATAAACTCCTTATGTCATTGAGTAACAAGGCTAATGACTAAAACAATTTTGGAATTTCTTTCTATGCTTACGTCCCCAATAACGTTATACTTTATCATTAAATAAGCACTTTGGACAGCATCGGACTCCACACTGAGTGCTGAAAACACAGGGGAGAGGATATAATGGAGGATAGCAGAATGCAGAGCATCTCATACACTGCTGGGCCACCAGGGAATCCATAACAGCAGCACCGAACCACCACGGGATACATAACAGCAGGGCTGGCTTAGAGATTTTGTAAATGTGTTTGTGTTAGTGTATGTATCTGTGCATGCCTGTCTATGTGCATCAGTGTCTATATCTGTACATGTGTGTCAGTGTTTGTGTGTGTCAGTGTATTCGTCTGTGCATATGTGTCAGTGTTTGTGTGTGTGTCCGTGCATCTGTTCATGAGTGTCAGTTTTGTGCATTTCAGCTGTGTGTGTCATTATATATATATATATATATATATATATATATATATATATATATATATATAAAATCTGTGTATGTGTATCATTGCTTGTGTATGCATCTGTCCTTGGCCCCCTACTGTTCTCTATCTACACTGCCTCCCTTGGTAAACTCATCAGCTCCTTTGGCTTCCGTTATCATTTCTATGCGGATGACATGCAAATCTACCTGTCCTCTCCTGATCTCTCTCCACCTAGACCTGTGTCTCTGACTGCCTCTCTTCGCTTTCCAAATGGATGGCTGCTCACTTCCTTAAACTCAACCTGTCAAAAACAGAACTTTTGATCTTTCCTCTCTCAAGTGTTACTACTCCCGTGTCTGTCTCCCTCCAAGTCAATGGCGCTACCATCACCTCTACCTCAGAGGCTCTCTGCCTGGGTGTTCTTTTTGACTCCAACCTCTCCTTCACCCTTCATGTCCAATGAATCGCCAAATCCTGTCGCTTCCATCTCAAAAACATAGCGCGCATCTGACCCTATTTAACCCTGGATGTGGCTAAGGTGCTGGTCCATGCTCT